TGGGCTGGGCTGGGCTGGTCCGCTACCTCCTTGCTCCCTTCGTCCGGCCCAGGGAAGGGCTCCTCGGGCCACCGCGCGGGGTTGGGGGCAGGACCCTGGCACCCGCACAGCCGCAACCAGGCCGGCAGCTGGTCCTGTGGCCCCTGCTCCGCATGAAGGAGAGGAGGTGTGAAGAAGCCCCGCGAGCGCCGTCCTCTCCTCTCCCGGCACAGCCCCGCCCCTGGGCTGGCGGGCGGGCGCGGGCTGTGCTTCTTCCTCGGTCACATCGCAGGAGTCCCGGGGCTGGGCGTGAAAAGAAACACTAGACGCCAGTGAGGTTCATGGTAAAATCCTGGGAGCTGTCAGTCTTGCAGCTGGAGTCCCTTGCCGGCATCCATAGAGATGATGAGTAACTTGGGGTTTTGTTTTGTTGTTTTTTAGACTACCCCAAAGGCTACAGGCCAGTGGACCATCGCCAGGAAATCTGAGGGTCAGTATGTGTTTACAAGAACTTGGATAGCAGGGGCCTGTTGTTCTCCCCCTCTTCCCTTTCCTTCCTGTTGCCTTCTATCATTTCTGTCATCTTCTAAATTAGTGACTTGTTTAGGCCCTGATCCTGCAAAGAAACACTTGGCTTTACACCTGCTGGAGGAGTACTACGCACTGCACAAGCATCACTCCTGGCAGGATGTTAAACAGTTTTAGCATTTCACTCTTTGGCCTTTACCTCTCCTAGAAGAAATGCTGGGAGTCTCAGGAACTTCCTTTATCTGTAAAGCGAAGCTTACTTTGGGGATTGATTTCTGTCTACATTTGTAAACCATATTTGCAACCTGTGCTGAGAGAGGACAGCCGAAGGCTTTAGACTCGTGGTTGCTTTGCTGTTCATGATTTCTTTTAGTTTCATAGTTATGCTGAATGTTAGAAGTGGTTGAATTCATTTCCATTGAGAAGTACTTTTGAGGAAAAAATCAATTCCTTAGGGAAAAGAGAAACAGTCAGGAGACCATGTTCAATTTGATTGTTTCCCCCCCCCCAAAAAAAGTAAAACTCAAAACCAGCTTTTTACCAAAACTGTTATTGAAAAGGATGCTTTTTAAAAAAATGAATATTTCTTCTGGGTTTTTTTTCTTTTTTTTTGTAAACATTGTTTCTGCAAGCCAGTGGGTTCTTGTTAATTTCAGTACTGAGCTTTCATTGATAAAATGAAATTTACAGGAAAGTATTCAATAAAATAATTTTTAAGACATTTCTAATCAGAGACAAATGGCAGCTCTGGCTCATGTTATTATTACATTGCAAGCATCCATATAAGAGTGGCCTTGGAGCTGAGGCCTCTACTTACTGTCACTCCTCACTCAGGAAGAGGTGAGACACAGGATGGCCAGGGTTAACCTCATAGTCAAACATGGGTTATAACATGCCGAACTGCTGCTCTGAAAGTAGAGAGTAAAAGGAAAGCTCAAAGATCTAATCCAAGCTGACTGAAGTTGATGGGAATCTTTCCATTGACACCAGTGAGGTATGGATGAAAGTCCAAGTGCAGGCCGTGAATTGTGAACTCAAAGACTAGCATCCCAGCCATAGCCACTGACTCACTATTTGTACTATGCACATCCCACACAATAATACAAAGAGGCTATGATTCTTGCTGGCACTAAGGCCATTTTATGGAATTTATTATACTTACGCCTGCTTCAATTCCCTGTTAGAGCAAGAAGAGGCAGTCATAGTTTAACCAAAAATTAAGCTCTGTCTCTTATGGGTCATGCCCTTTCTAACTTCCTCACCTCAAATTCCCAAGCTCTTTTTCTTCCCCTTTCACCAGTTGTGTTCCTTTTACTTGGAAACCAAAAGACCCACTGCTGTGTAAGCAACAAAGCACAGCTAAAAACTGCTGTTGACTTTCTTTTCACATCTCCCTACAGTTTACCTCATTCTCTGAGTCTCACTGTTTCTCTCTTGATTACCGAGCTATTTTTTTTTTTTACATGCCCAGGCTTTATCAAAACACCCCTTTCAAAGAAAGTTTAAGGACTTACATCTTTCTAAGATTCTCTCTGCTTTATTCCTCTCCAGTTAAGGTCAATGTCAGTGAAGCGACTGTCGATGTTACTTACTGGAGTGGCAACTGGAATGTCACAAATGGCAGAATCCAGGTTGAATGTGATGGCTTGTATCTGGTGTTCCTGCAAGGAGGGCTCAGTTTGGATAATAATGCCTTGCTGACCCTCACAGTTCATGATAAAGAGAACAATACCATCTTGAAGCTGGAAGAGAAGGAAGAAAGGAAGATATATTTGGTCACAGCATTACGTCTGCTTAGTCCTAATAATATTTATCTGAATGCCAGTGGCCCGGCCATTCTTCATCATTTGTCACTGGGCCTTGTCTTGCTGTCTCCACCCAATTACTGCACTGACAGAAAAAGGATTAAATATTAACATGCAAAGAAAGACCCCTTTCTGACAAACTACAAATCTGAACCCACCACTAGCACATACACAAGATTGTATTCATTAGGCTATACATGTACAAGAAGCCTGAAACTGGGGTCTCAGGCCTGTGCTATGTCTGAGTGAGAGGGTTCTCCTGGCTAGTGCAAACAAGTCAATATGCAAATAGTCTTTATTCAATATCTGCCATGTTCATCTCTTTGGGGCCCACTCCCTGGGATGGATCTATCGGACTTGGGAGAGGGTCCGTGATACTGTCGAGAAGAATGAAGGTGAGAGCATAGAAAGTTATTGATGCTTGGTTCATAGAGGAATCCTGGCTTCCCTATTTATTTGATGAAATTTGTATATACTTGAAAGGCTTTGCACACTTGCTGGAAAAGGAATCAGTTGAATCACAAATGGACCTGATATTTTTACAGTTACCTGAGCAAAGTGGAGATGATAGAGATCCATGAAACAACTTTTGCCTAGCTGCAAGGAAGAAAAAGATCCCTTACAGTGATCCTGAGAGATGTTTCCTGGAAGCTCAGGAAATGGAAGAAAAGAGGTGTTTGGAAGTTTAAAATGGAGACTCGTGGTAATGAGCACAGAGCTGTTTAAGAATGGCTTTTCAGACAGAAAGAGACTATGAGAAATGCAGTTTCTAATTATTTGCAAATTCTTTGGCATAAGTGATGTGGGAATATTTGAGACAATACTAGGAGGGACTGATGTCAGGAATTCAAGATATCAACTGGAGAAGAATCCCAGCTTCTCCCTTCTCCTCTTCCATATGCATGCATACGCATGCACACATACACACACATACTAGGCTTGAACCAAGATCCAGGTGCCTAAACTTTAGAAGATGTTGGAAGAAGCTCCTAACCCCTTGCACAGGCTGTCTGGGTTCCAAGGAACAAATAAAATCTTTGGTTCTGAAATCTTCAAATTTGGGAGGGTTCAAATTTGTGAAAGTCTAGTCCAGAGAGCCTATTACATACATGCATACACACACTCCGTTATGCAGTTGTACACACGGATCCTGAGCTGACTCCCACTGAAGTCCACAGACAGCCTCTTCCTGATTTCAGTGGGCTTGTGATTCCTATTCTCATTTGACTATGAGTGTGGAAGATAAGGACAGTCTTTCCAGTGTTAAAGTGCCATATTTGATTTGGATGCATGTAGTAACCTAGCCTATTGAAATGTAAAAACATTTATTTTAAGGTGGGTTTGAATGAGTGATTTGTTTGCATCAATGAGCAGAGCTCTGATGTAAATGTGGGGCAGGGGAAATATATATTGCAGACTTGAGTCTCACCCATGGGGAGGAGAGGGCTGCAATGTACCCCTCCCCCCCGGAATAAGTGAAGACTGATGAGCTTGCAGGGGGGAGGGAGGGGAAGGGGACAAAACCTAATTGAGGCTAGATATATTCAGTTAATATATTGTTATTCTAGGCATAGAGTGAAATAGCTTTCAAAGGCAACAATAAAAGTTAGGCACATAATTCCCTAGTGGAATTAAGCAACTTACTGCTGTTTGTACTTGTGAGCATCTATGTTTAAAGTATTTATGTATTTATATTACAGGTATGAAACTGGATAATTTTGTATTTAGTAAAAAAACACTGGGCAGATTTTAGATTGCAAGAGATTTCCCCCTTCTAAACCCTTATTTGTAGACACTTAAAACCTACAACTTTTCTTTTTCAAACAGAAAGTTTCCAGGCCTGGTCTTTCCCAAACATGATTATAAAGCCTGAACAGAAATGGTTCAGTTGCTTGTTTGTTTTTGGGTGCAGGGGGGCATGACAGGGGAACAGGTTTAAAAATAAACACCTTCATTGTGATCCAGCAATGTATTAGCATGTGGGCTGCTTCTGACACGGTGGTCTAGCTGAGGTTGGTAGGATGACTGCTGTTTAAGATTAGCCAGGAGTTTCAATGCTTTGTTGGGCTGGGGCTTATACCAGTCTTTTCTCCAGTCACAGTGTATGTAGGGTTTAGGGAATGGGTGCTGCCTACCTGGTTAGGCATATGAGGAAACTCCTTTTTGAAACCCCATGGAGATAATGCAGGACTTGCAGAAGCATTTTTCCCAAGGCTTCACAAATTGTCCCTCCAGCAAATCTGATGAATTGTCAGGGCATTCTGGTAGGATCCAGTCAGATATTTTTCCAGGTACTGACTGAACTCATGCTATTGCCTTCTTTGTGAGCAAGGATTACTTCAAAGCTCTGGCCAGTGAAACTCCTTTTTTCCATCCTTCAACTGAAAAAAAAGAAAGAGGAAAAAGAATGAAATCCTAAGAAATTTTATTAACACCTCCCTCCCCACCAAAAAACATATTAGGAGAATGTTATGATTACACAGTTGAGTGCTTTTCAGTCAGGGAATACCACAAATAATGTGTATTCACAACCTCAACTCTGCCCCCTTTGTGCGTTGACATAATGATAAAGTCTTCAGAGTCTAGTCATACACTGCTTCTCAAACAGTACAGTAATTCCTACAATTTCAGATACTGGGGTGTATGTTCCAGTGCTCTTTGTATACCAGAGGAAAGAGTCCATGAATGACATTTATATGAAAAGTTTTCAGTGTAGCAAAGCATAGCAATGTGAGACAAAAGTGAGAGTAAGCTGACGCTTATTTGTGTCAAGTTTGCCAAAAAGTTACATTCTTCCACCAAAATTCAATGGAGAAAGTAAGGATTGCTAGTTGATTAGAAAATATATTATTGTTGAGAAAAACTACAAAAATACGTTCTGCAGAAAAATGTAAAGGGAATGGGGCAACCAAATTGCTCTGTGACATTAAAAACCTTGGCCACACTATAGTAGACTAATATAACAAAAACTAGTACTGAAAATACAAAAGAATGGGGGAAGTATTACAAGGGATAGTGCATCAGTTTGTAGGGAAAAAAACATTTCTTGTATTGCTTAAGAAGTGGTATGTAATCTTGAAATTAAAGGTCATGTCATAATGCGTGTAGCTAAGGACACAGAGGTAGGGTTGTGTGAATAACTTCTGGGTGTGTGGCTATGTCACCATAACATCCTCTTAATATCACTTATTACTTAAATAATGCTTGATGGAGAGAAAGGAGATTCAGTGAGTCACAGAGTGCGTTGGGTACCTGAGTCAGGTGGAACT